ATCGTGGTCCCTGGAGTGGGTACACTCAGTGTGTTCACTGCAGCGCGAAACAAGAGCGGGCTTGGAAGGCTCGTGTCTTTACCGTCGTTTCTACCGTCCCTCGTGGAACCTGCAAAGGCGGGAGCATGAGGCAGAAACCCCGTTTGTACTGCTTAGCGCATGTGGAAGAAAAGGCAGGCCATCCCAGTCCGTCAACTGTGAGCTTAAATGTCTCCCAGGAGAGGAGATATATATTTTAAAGACATTCTTTCTGTCTGGTTCCATCTGTAAAAGCAGGCAAACATTGTGATTATCATGGACTTCTGGCTTCTAAAGTAAGCGCCTGTCTTTCTCGTCCTTCCCTCCACACCTCTCCGCACACCTGGAGTGGGCTGAGGAAGGAAGGTTTTTAAAGGCCACGTGAGTTTACACCGGTACCTTCTGTGTGAATGAGAAAAAACATCGGGGACTGAATATACTGCAATATACATGTTCATAAGAAACGTTCTAATAACGCGTTGAGCACGAAACTATTGATATAAACATATTTCCAAAAGGAGAAACTATTGCATTTCATAAGATGTCGCTTCTTAGACCAGAGGTTTGTCTTTCTTCTTTGCAGCTGGTTTGGGGGCAGAACTCTCGCACGGAACTAACCAAGTGCAACGTGTTATGACGGATGCAGATCCGGAGTGTTCGGAGTTCGAGGCTGTGCCAGTCCTCGGGATTCATTTAACTCAAAGAAGAGTTTCAACTTTGAGCAGTTCAAGATGGGACTTGCCCAGGGTCAAAGTGCTCCAGGATTGCTAGTTCAAAGGCAGGCGTTCCAGAAGATTCTGTGGAGTGGGAGCCAGGCAGACGTGGCCCGATGGCTGCCCTCTCAAAGTGCCACTGAAACACCGACCACCCAGCCCCCTCGGAAAAACTCATTCCAGACCCAGCAGTTTGGCCTGATGTTGGCCACGAACTCGGACAGAACCCAAATCCTTCTAGTTGCTGATAAAACTTATGGTTTTGATTCTTAAAGACACCACTGTATCTCGGCATGAGCAGGCCACTTCCGTGACATGTTCTTTGAGGCACGTGGGGCTGTGGGCTGTGCGTGGTCCAGGGACTCGGCAATCGGCGGCGGCTTCCGGAGACCTTTGGCGTCTGCGCGTGGGGCTCCGGCGGGCCGGCCTCTGCACCTCGGCACAGCGGGCAGGGCAGGAGGCCTCGGGCACGGCGCTGAGATGGCCCCTTCCCACCACAGGGCACCAGGCCAGGGGGCCCCGTGGGCACCGGTCAGCCCAGCACTGCCCAACAGCTGCAGAATATCCCGTCCCTCCTGGGATCTGAGTTTTAAGACACAAGGGTGGAAACTGGGACCAGCGGAACAGCGAAGGAGCCCAGTGTGGGGGCGCCGACCCGTCTGGCCCTTAGGTGGGGGTGCGTAGACTCAGACCGAAGTTCACAGCCCAGCAGAGGAGAGAGCGAGAACGTTCGGAAGAAGATGACCCAGGAGGCACCAGGAGAGCAGCTTGGGCGCTCGGGAGCCCCATGTGACCTTCTGCCGTGTTTACCGATGGTTTTCTTGAGGAATAGCGTGTCCTGTGAGGGTGCGCCAGTGCCTCGCGAGTCAGGTCACGTCACCTAAGAGGCACTGCTGCGGCGGAGCTCGAGGGGCCCGGTCCGGAGCCCGGGGAAGGCACCGTCCAGCTAGATGCCCTGCAGGGAGTGGTTTGGGTCACCACGTTCCCGCTTCACCAGCGGCTCACCCAGGCTGTGGGCGTCCGGGTCAGCCTCGCCGCTGCGGTCCTCGCCGAGGTCATCTGCAGGGTTAGCATTGGGGATGAGGGGTGCGGGCAGGGGGTGCGGCAGGGAGGGAGAGAGAAGCACGTTCTGAGAGGTGCACAGGCATGGCCAGGCCAGGGTCTCCGCCCCCCCCCCCCCCCCCCCCCCCCCCGCCGCAGTGCCCCAGGAGGCCTTGTGACCGGAGACCTCCCTTGACCAGGGTCCAATTGCCCGGTCACATTTCTGGCAGGGTCCCCCTTGGCACTGGTGCCCCCGCCCCGTGGGGCAGGGAATGGGTTGGGGTGGGGAGAAGTGGATGCCGGAGGCCCGGGGCTGTGGCCCTGCTCCTGGGCCCGGGGTGGAGGTGCTTGGGGAGCGGAATTAGACATCGCCCCGAGGCGCCCACCCGAGGGGGAGGTGCAGGACTGCTCCTAGGAGCCTTGGCCCATCCTGGCCTGTCTGGAGGCAGCTCCTAAAGGCCCCCAGCCCACCCCGGGAGCTGCCTCGATTTCCACTAGCACAGGAGTGGGAGGAGGAACCCCCGGGAGAGCAACACAGAAAACCCAGGGACACACCCACCTTTATCGAGCAGTGTCAGCGACAGGGAGGCGAGATCATTGAACTGAAAGAGAGAAGCCCGGGGGTCAGGGGCCTCGCAGAGGGGCCTGGTCCCGGTGAATGTCAGCCACCGTCCCCTATCCACAGTTCAAACAGGCCTTGGCTTAGAAATGGTAGCGGTCCCCACGCGAGAGGAGGCACTGAGGCTGGGTGTGTCCCCTCTGGCACCTTCTGGGCCTTGCCTGGCAGCTGCTGGAGAGCTGAGGGGGTGCTGACTGCTCAGGCCACCAAGGGGACAGGGACTGTGGCCTCTGAGTGGTAACAGGCTTACTATGTGTTAAGAGCTCTGTAAGCGTCACCTCGTATGTTCCTCAGAACAACCCCATGTGACACACCATTCCACTCCCAGGAGTGTGCCCGAATGAGGCAAAAACAGGGATTCCAACCAGAAGGTGTCCCCAGGGTTCACAGCAGCCCAAAAGTGTAAACGAGCCGTATGTTCGTCGGTGCGGGGACAGGTGACGCACAGTGTTGAACAGCCACGCGGTGGATGCTGTTTGGCCACAGAAGCAGTGAGGCAAGGACACCCGCTACGACATGGAAAGATTATGTCGAGTGACAGATGCCCGACACAAAAGGCCACATTACGTGTGAGTCTGTGCGAGTCAAATGTCCACGACGGGCAAATCCCGGCAGAAAGCGGGGCGGTGGCTGCCAGCGTCTGGGGAGAGGGACGGGGGGAGAGAGACTGCTGCCAAGGATGGGGTTTGCCTTTGGGGTGATGGAGCTTTCTGGAATCACATAGGAGTGCTGTTTGCACAAGTCTTTTTTTTTTTTTTT